CATACATTAAACATAATAGGACCTTGATGCACGTCTTTTTTTTTTTCGGATCAAGTTCGAAATAGCCAACTGGCGGCCATTTTGTTTTAAAGAATTCAGTTCTGGATCCGTATCCGAGACATGTCTGGATTGATCATGTTCAAACTTCACACACACATGGTACATCATGTCACAAATAGATATGTGCATTTGTTTCATGATCTGCTTAACAATAGCGGAATGATGGCCATTTTAAGGCCGAAAATGCATCAAAATCACGTATTTTCACAATTCCAGAACCGGATCTCAGTCATGCATGGATGGATTTTGTTCAGATTTAGCACAATGTGTTGTACATATGCAGGTGCATTTCGGTCATGATCTGCTTTGAATGTATATGTCACTCAAATATGAACGGAACGGGGACGTGTCATTGACAATGACTTGTTAGTTTATCACTCAAATCTGTTCTTATTAGTTACCTGATTTGCATAATTAGTTTACAGCTTTTCCACCAATATCTCAAGTACAAGTAAATTTGAATTAATTTTTAATGTATCTCCAATTCTCTCAGCACACTGGAGTTCTTTCTAAGCTTTCTTTGACTATTGAATGGGATGTGTAGTAGGGATATCCAAGGCTGGGATATGTACAAGATAAGTATTCAAGGCATTTAAAATAATCTAGTGATGAGTGGCATATCAATAGTGTTAAATCATTTCTCTCCCAAGAATAAGAGTTTAACTCAAAACACTGGTAATTTTTTGAGGGGTGTTAGTTTTCAAAGGTCCCGGGACCGATAGACTAGGGAGCTGGTCTACTAGGGGAAGGGGTTCCATATGATAGGAGAATGTGACAGTTATCACACTGCATTAAATACAAAATTATTATGATTTTCATTATGGCTACACAGGTCACAAAATAACTAGACACTCTGTCTACCTCACAATTTCACATTTTTTACTGTTAGTATGTGGCAGTGAATAGAACTTGGACACAAATAAATGGCTGCTGATTTCTTGAGAGCAAAAGCCCAAGACTTGGTTTGCCCACAAATAGTGTTCCATTTTCTTGTGCATTTTCACATTCACTGAATACTATGGTTACATAGGTCAGCGTGACAGTGGATATGATAACAGAATAGAATAGAACACAGAGGGAAAGTTTGGTGGCTTTCTTAGTTGTTTATTCTGTAAAGTTTGCAAAAAAGCAGATTTCATAGAGGGGACCTGTTCTACAGATGTATCTGTCTTTCTCGCCAAACGCAGCATGAAAACAGATCCAAGATCTGGAGAGGAGGGAATTATGTTCCCTAAATCTACAAAATAGACTACAAAAGTCAGTAATGAGAATTGCATGTTTCCAATTGTTTCATTGCATGAAATGTGTGAACAGAAAGCTAAATATTCTTCTGAAAACCACTTAGTACAACAAAACTGACAACAAATGAAGAGTTGTGTCTAATTTATAAAACAGAGTACCATACATCAATAATCAATAGCAGTAAGGGTTGGTTTTTTGAAACCTTTGCATTTTTTTACAGTTTCACATACCTATGAAAGGCGCCACATATGGTAGAATAGAGAGATGTTTGTTTTCTGTTTGAGTACTGTAGAATACTTTATTTTCGCTTGGAATTTATTTTCGCTATTTTCGCTGAAAGGATGATTCCGTGAAAATAAAATCCAGCGAATATACATTTTTTCCTATATTTCTATATAAACTCATCAAAAATCAGTGAAAATAAATTCCATACAAAACGTTCAAAAAGCCTTTTCAGCGAAAATTAATTCCAGCGAAAATAAAGTATTCCACAGTATATTTTTTGTTGAATGATGCAAATACATGTATTTGAATGCATTATTTAATCTTGTGTTAACAAATAATCTTAATACAAAGAAAATTAAAAATAAATCATCTTTCAATTCACTCTGGGATACAACGTTTTTTTGACAGACTACAGCAGACGCCGTGTATTATCATGAGACTGGTGAATCGGTCTGTGGATAGGCCTTGCGTATATAAATGATTTATGTAGCAATTTACCAGACCATTCTTGAGTGCACTGGCAGTGAGGGTTTAATATATCAATTGTACTTGAGTCACTGATATATAGAAAACATGAGCCGGGCTGAGGAGCTACCCTCTTCAGACGAGTTATTCTGCTATTTTTGAACAAATCTAAATTCTCATTACCAAAATTAACATTTGTTTGCATTGTTATAAAGTTGGTGTATTTAACATGTACAGTATTTACTGTCCTATATATGAATCACAATAATGCTATACTGTAAAATACTTTATTTTTGCTTGGAATTCATTTTTGCTATTTTTGCTGAAGGAATGATTCAGTGAAAATATAATCTAGCAAATATATCTTTTTTTATATTTTACATTTAACCAAACCTTTGATTTAATTTGATTGGAAAAATATTTCATATAAACACCCGAAAAGCCTTTTTAGCGAAAATCAATTCCAGCTAAAATAAAGTATTTTACAGTAATATATTCAATTTATATTTTCCTCTGTGAGAATCTCTCTACCGCAATGCATTGCACATATGCTCAGTAACATGCTTAAAAATAATTTATATCCCACAATGCAATGTAAATGTGTTCAGTAACATGCTCAGTTGATAAACTTGAATTTATCTCCCATAATGCATTGCACATATGCTCAGTGACCTGCTCAGTAGATTCAAAACTAGAATTTCTTTCCCACAATGCATTGTAAATATGCTCAGTATCATGCGATGCTATATAAATTATTGTAAAAGCGTTTTTGCAATGCAAAAAATAATTTTTATTTGACAAAGAATGAAAAACACTAACATGCATGCAGTGTAATCGGTGCAAACAAAAAAATAATTTGCATGTTCGCATATATTGTATATACATACAAAAACCTATGAATGTATGCTAAATACCTGTGCATTAGAGTATTTCATTGTTTTGTAAAATTCATCTATGCATACTGTACCAAACCGCTATACATATACTCTTCCAACGGTGTTCATATATTTGATAACATTGTTTGAAATATATAAATGAATCCCTAGGGGAAAAAAAAATTGTTCAAAAAATAAAAAAGAATTTCAGGTGCTCATGTGCATGCAAAATACTGTAGAATACTTAATTCCAGCGAAAATAAAGTATACCATAATAACCTTGTTTTCTTACTGTGGTGTAAACCCTACAAGTCATTTTGACCTCGACTATTGAATCTTACTAGTAATTTGCATTATGCATGAATCTTAAAGGTCACACATCCTGGTACTTTCTGAAGGAATTTCTTGCCCTATAATAAACAATAATCATTTCCAATATTGCACTTCAATTTTTTTCATGTGAAATAAATTGTCTCTGAGATTGCATGTTAGCCTGAAATTATTTGAGAAAATTCTAATTGATAGTGAATTTGCACCTCCAGAAAATACCAGGATGTGTGACCTTTAAGGGTCATGTATAAGGCGTTGACAAGTACCATTCAATAAATAAAAATTTCAGAGCACCTTGAATATAAAAAGTGTAAATGGAAGCCTGGTTACAATTTAAAATATTCACATAAAAAAATACATTATACAACACTGCTTGGTTACAACGATTGAAGCACACTGTTATCGGAACTCTGCATGTATCGGTACACACAGGCTTTTTAACCTTTTCACCAAAAATTCACAAAATGTTCTGTTCATAGTCTGCACTTTCCTTCAAAAGATTTGGACAAAAATAGTCAAATTTGTTGAGTAAAAACTGAAAATTGAATCAAATTTTGTCTGTTGGCTTCAAAATTAGGGTTCATTTCCAGAAATATTGAAGAATTTAAGTAAAAAGTGCAAAAAAATTCAGGCGAGAAATTCCGGTAGTGAAAAGGTTAATATTAATTTCACAAATTGTTTGATTTTAGAGATATGCTGAAATCCAGTTGCACATTTTTAGGAAACCTTGTAAATTCAGACAATTATGTGTCAAATTCGGTCATAATTAAATGTTTTTCTGTGTTGATAAAGAACTATGATAGTCACGGCAATGAGCAATGTTTTGAACTGGGTATAGTGTGTAGCAAAATAATTTGAATAGAAGAATTCACAATGCATAGTTCTGGCAACAGTGTCTCTTTAAATATCTGGCAAAATATCATGTAATGGTATGACATGGATACTCGGGAATTCTAAATAGAATATTATTGACAGCACAAGTCATGTGGTGTTGAATCAGCCAATCAGCCGCTCTGGTTCACTTTAGGATAATTACAGACATTTACATTTTAATAGCAATGCCTGTGTACATTACATGTACATGGACCATACACAGTACAGCTATCATCAAAACTGTCACACAGACTTGTGTATTTATCACACTCACCACATATTTCTAGATTTTCAGTACACTCATTAGGGTGTGTGTTGTGGTCAAATAAACTGACTTATGGTAAGTGTATTTTTATTACATAATTTCCAAAAAATGAAATTAGCTTTCAGACATTGGTACATGTACAAGCTATGGGTGAAAGTTGTGTTTTGTCAGATTAAGTTTAGTGTGGTCGTCAAGCATGATGGGAATGCAATAAAAGCTCATCCTAAATGCAATCAATGGGTTGAGCAAGAGTGATAAATGCTATATGAAAGCTGCACTGTTTCAACATTGTTATCCTCTTACTACCAGGACCCATTGTGAAAACGATAAAGCATTGGGTTATTTATAATGCTGAGAAATCAATGTAATATCAAACATTACAATTGTTGTGTTAGCTGAATGACACAAATATATACACATACATATTGACCAAACAATTGCACAAATAGAGTTTTCACAATCATTTCAAAATTGCATAATTTAATTATGCAAATCTCATGGATGCCTCCTCCAATTAGACTGCAACAACACAGGTGCACATGCAGATTCTTCACCAGGTGTCACAAAGTCAAATCTACATAATTTATTCATTTATGCAAATCTCATGGATGCCTCCTCCAATTAAACTGCAGCCACACAGGGGCACATGCAGATTTTTCACCAGGTGTCACATGGTCAAATCTACATAATCTATTTATTTATGCAAATCTCATGGATGCCTCCTCCAATTAGACTGCAGCCACACAGGTGCACATGCAGACTCTTCACCAGGTGTCACATGGACAAATCTACATAATTTATTCATTTATGTATCCTTCAATTAGACTGCTACCAAACAGGTGTGGATTCTTTCCCAGGTGTCACATGATCAGATTTTGTCCAAGCTGATTGGAGAGAGCTTTGTTGTTCTCTACATCTCTGCTTTATTGTTTTATTGTCTATAACATAAACTGGAAGATCAACCTGGTGGATTGAAAGTAAAGAAATAAATATAGTTATATAGCACATCCTCAAGCAGGAGAATCCTCAAAAACTCTTTTTCAGTTTTTATATTTTATTTAATGTATAATGAAGGATTATGCAATGAACAGAAAATGGTCTGTTCAGCATATATCAAGCTCATACATATCTTTGTTTGAACTTTGAATCAAAATCAAGATCAGGTTTTAGAAAGCGTGTTGGGTTGGAGTTCTTAGAGTGTTTTTGAAACCTTGGAAGATAATTTTTTTTGTTCTTGTGTCACATTTTAAAATTGTATTATTGGATGTATTTTGTTTGTAGCCTCTGACATAGGTTGAAAGAAATGTAAACAAATAATGTCATGGTATGACGATCTAAATACCCAAGAGATGATCTTCTTTAGGGTCTATACTCTGACATGCAAACCATGATACCACACATAAAGTAAGATCGTATTTTTATACATCTGTCACCGTAACGCCATAAGGTACAACCTGCTGTAATTTTTTTTGCGGTATTTTGCAGGGTATTTTCATCCTACCATATTAGGATATGTGAACTCCAAATATGGAATTAATATGCGCATAAGCGTCCTCTATTAATAAAAACAAACATGGCTGCCACCAGAGTTTGACCAAACTCCACACAAAGAAGTTTGTTGATTCTGTTCTAAACATTTTAGATTTCGGCATTCCCATGATGTATCCTTGCAAGGAAAAAATGTATAAATAATAGATACCTCAAAGTATGCACTCAGACAGTACGTCATCGCATCGACCTCCGCTGCACGTCAGTCGATACTCCTGCTGTACTGTCTTTGTGCATACTTTGAGGGATACTCGTAATAACCTCATATTATCAGACGCATCTTGGTATCACGGTATGATAAATGATAATTACCTGAAATATATTTTTCCAGGCTTTACACATGGCAGTCTCAAATTTATTCTCTTCACCGGGACTATTGAAATACAACACCCAGGGCTGTTCATGATCAGAACTAACTTCTGATGGCTCAAATTCCTGAAATATCAAATGACAGCATTAGCATTTAGATGATTAAATTCAGTACTGATGTAAATATACAGGTGAAATGTTACACATGAAGCAGATCAGCCTACAGGATACTGATGTTTTCAACTACAAATGCATTTGTTACATCTATTGAGTGAATTGCTGTGAATGCCACAAAGGTTTAGTGCCTAAAACACAAACTTTACAAAATCAGTTATAACCATTATATTCTGATTGTTGTTTATATAAATGCTAAATGGTAAAACAGTTGTACATTTTGTGCTACACAGTTTCTGATATTGAATGTCAATGTTAACTCCCTATTTTTTTGTACATGTAAAATTACAAGTGAAATTCCTAGATAGATACAGTCCATTTGCCGCAGAAACCATTATCCATATATGGAATTACATGACAGGGCTGTGGATTATAAAATGGATTATGGCAATTTAGTGCAATAACCAGGTGTTGTCCAGGTCCAGTTTAAACAGGTACCAGCGAACCTTAAACAGTAAATGAATCCAAGCCTGTGACTTTGGCCTTCCTAATGAGTTAGTGGCCCACTCAGCCAGGTTTAGAGGTCAACCCTATCGCTGCTGTTGACCTACCCTGGGCATGATTTGATTTATTTGATTTGATTTAGTCCATGAGGCCGGATACAACATCACAAAGGTGAATGGTATCATATGTATATTTCAAATTAGATAGACAATTCAACGTGATATGTACTTACTACTATGCAGTAATATCTATTGTCAGGATCTACAGTAATTCCACCAATGTCTTCTATTTTACAACTAGCCAGACATCTAAAGAAACCAGTCTGGAAATCTTCATGGCAGGTAATAAACTTCTGATCAGTTAAAATAAGACAACATGCAATGCATGGCGAGGCATTGGGAGAACATTGATCCATCTGTAAAAAAATATTTATATATAACTGCAGTCATCCTAATACCACATTCAATCCTCTCCAATCTGACTCAATCATAAGCAAAATTCAAAATGTACTTTTCATGTTGTAAATGTAAATAGAAAGTGAATTATCAATGTCAAAGAACGATTTGTCAGAATTGATTTTGGAGAAAAAACGGCATGAATTTTTTTGAAAAACTGGTAATTTGCAATTTTGAAAGATAAACTGAATATGGAATGAAAAATTCACCACCTTTCACTTTTATTAACAGGTCGTTGTTTTATGGTTTTATGATTAGGCAACCAAATTAGGGGCATTTTGGAGGGGATTGTGCTTAGCCGAACATGAACCTGAAAATATAAATGTCCCATAAGTGGGTGGGGTACACTTAGCCGAGCATGGGTGCTAAGTTGGATGCGTACAATAGTTACGATACTAATAATTCTTGTAATACTAACCCCCACAACAAAGACAGACACACCGACAAATAAATCTGAGTTATATTTGAAGACTTACCCCTAGAGCCACAGATGAGCAAATAGCATGCAGCCATTCCGAGGCTTCTGAGTCATCTTTAGCAGCTAGTTCTAGTGATGTTTTATCTGGTAGTATCAACTCAAAAGAATAAGGTCTCTCTCCACTCCTAATACGACGACATCCGCCAAAGTCAGTACTCCTAGTGATGAAATGAGAAGGTTTATGCCAGGATGTGTGACAATTAGGTACTGGGATATTTGTGATCTATTGACCTCAGTGCCCGATCAGCAAAACATGTACGTCTAGTATTATTAATTAGAGATGAATTAAAATGATTCAAATCTAAGTACTTACTTTAAAGAAATTGACAACTGTGGTATTGGGTCATGCCTTTGTAGTAGTCTGTAAAATACTCCATTTCTGAAAGAAAAAAACAATAAACATACCAAAATTAGTGGGGGGGGGACAGTCAATGTTTTAATATAATAATGGTTATTTGTTGAACTTGTCACCCTGTCATTTCTGATTTTATTTTTATAAGCACAAACTGAATTATGAATGTTAAACTCTTTGAGCACAAACTTCAAGTCAAGACAACTTCAGGCACCATCCGCAAAATACTTTAATACAGTATGCTCTCTTATATATAAAATATTGCAAAATTTGATTAAAAAACTAGAAGTACCGGTAATGTCACATTTTGTCTGTTTGGTCTAAAATTAAGATTGAATTCAGTGAAAATTACAGAAAATTTGAACAAATTATGAGTGGAAAAAATATTGCACTATCCAGAGTGCTCCAAAGTGGCCGGGATTTCATGTTCCACAAAGAGACCGGGGTTTGATGATGCACTGACCTTAGTAGAAAGTATCCAGGTTTCCAAGTGATGCCACCAAATAAATAACTATCCCAGGTTTTATACAACAATGTTCCTTGTTTATAGGTAGATGGTTTTTGAACATTAGGACTGCTTGACTTTACAGTTAGGTCTTCCCAGTGTACTAGTCCATAGTGATGAATGTTGACATCATTTAGCTACAAACAGGCAAGTCGTTAATTTGTTAAATTGTCAAAACTGAGAATTTTTGCAAATTTCAAACTTTGAAGACATGACAATACTGTAAAATACTTTATTTTAGCTGGAATTAATTTTCGCTGAAAAGACCTTTGGATGTATGTAGGGAATTTATTTTTGCTGATTTTTAAAGAGTTGAATGTAAAATATATATATATATATATAGGTATATTCGCTGAATTTTATTTTCACTGAATCATGCCTTCAGCGAAAATAGCAAAAATTAATTCCAAGTGAAAATAAAGTACTAGTATTTTACAGTAGTCACCTGGAATGTTGTACTGCAGAACAAACCAGTGGAAACATACAAGTACATAGCAAGGCCATACACAAGGGATATAATATAGGAATCTAACCTAGGCACAATTGTTGTTTTTTCATGTCAAAATGTTGGTGCATATATTTTTATGTGTTTGCCTAAAAATTATTGTTACTGTAAAAGCATTATTTTTCATTGATGTTTAATTTCACTACTTTTACATTTGTAATATTCACTGGGTTTTAAATTCACAGATTTTCAGTGTAACAATAAGTTCTCTTGTAATTTTACACGCAGATTTAATTTTGCAGATTTTATTTAACATAATAATTAATGACTTTACATTATTTTGAATGAGACAGGTTTTTTAAAGCGGGGGATTCGTCATCTACTTATGCGTCATGTGGCCATACCGTGTCATTGTTTACAAAAAGCGGCTACCCATAGCCTTTGCATTGTTAGCGTGTATTGTTATCATCGCTTGAGACTCAATTCTTGCGCGTGCGCAGGTGATGACCCTCCCGCTTTAAAATAAGGAAGATGTTCGTAAGACTTTCAAACACATTTGTAATCCTTTTTACAGACGACTGAATTTTATTCCTACTGTCAGACATATACTAATATACATTACCTCACATCGACATTCTACAGATGCAAATTTCTTCATAGCAATAAGCTGTGTAGTTGCATCTCGTAAAATACTTGGTAACTCGCGCGTACGACTGCCTTCCTCCATTACTTTCATCAAAACCGATAAGAAATACCTAAATAAATAAACACAATGAAGTCTTACTGGCAATATTACTTTTTTCACAACTGAATTTCTCACCTAGTTACTGTTACTGAGATTTTGGAGTGAATCATACATCAGTTTATATCATTCAGCAAACATTTTGTAAAATTCAAAATAGAACAGGAAACAGCGTGAAAACCGTCGCACACTGTCTACTGTTGATGTTCTAATGTGCGATTGTGAAAAGGGGAATTAGCAACTGTAATAGAAAAATGATGGAAATATGAATTCAAAGTAATTAACAATAGAAAGCATGAATCCACATTGTGAGATCAAATGTGTTTGTTTGTACCTTGTCAGTTGCTCATCTCCAGTGGATAGGCAATACTGATTTCTTCGGTTTGCACACACTAGCGTCACAGACTGATAATTTACATTCACCTGTAGAAAACAAAAACAGGGATTTGTATTCAAGAATCTTGAAATCAGAATATAAGAAAAGAAAAATGTTACTACAGTAAAATCTGTATTAGAAGCCGCATCTCTAACAGAAGTCGCACCCATTTTTTTTAAAAGTACTGGTTATATATATAGATATAATATAAAGCCCTTTTACTTTGCCCAATGATAGTATATATGACTGAATCTATCCAAGTCTTATATTTCATAAATATGTAAATATGAATATTTAAATATCTGAAGATTCCATAAAAGGTAGGTAGTACAATTGTGCGGTTGGGTTGGGGTACCCACCCAAAAACTTATTTAGGATAACCCTGAATTGTACTTACAGACAGGAAGTCAATGTCATTGTATGTAATCATTGATTCAGTCTGATACAACACATCACCATCACCTGTGGAAAAAAATTTTTTTCAGAGAATGCAGTGCTAGTAATTTTTCTCTTGAAATTTGTGTGCAACAAGTTGCTTATTTTTTGATACCAGTAATTTAGGATGAGAAAGACATAATTTCCTCTTGATCAAAGTTTAAAAAAAACAATTTTGATTTTATTTTTTGAAAGGTATCAAAAGTTGACTTTTGCG